ACCACATGATCTCTAAAATCTGATTCAACAGAATCGAGCTATCGTAGTTTTGGTTTTCTTATTTTCCGATTAGTGAATGGGTTTGCAACATAAGTTTTCTTTACTGGAATTTTTCGCCATTTTAGTAACATCAGAAGTTCAGTATATGCTTTTAGATTTTCAACTTTCAATAATATCCGGCTCTTTAAAAGCTCTATTCATTTATGAGTTAAAACCATGCCATCATTCCGATGGTACTTGATTTCAATCAATGATAATGATTATTCATTCAATTTCCGTTGTTATTATTCCAGTATACAAGCTATGATTCTCAAGATATATCTAAGCAATATTAACTTAATAATTCTGATCTAAAAAGTTTTCATTTTTAATTCAAAGTAATGAAATGCAGGGTGCCGCAAGAAAACTCGGACAAAGTTATTGCCTCATAGAATAAAAGCTAACTAATTTCTTTTTAACTTATACGTTCTTTTCCTTATGTGAACTATTTTAATTATGAAATATTTTAAAATATATATCTTAAAGTACGTATTGTTCTTTTCTTTTTTTTTTAGAATGTGAAGTTAATGATCTATTTTAGAGTTGTTTAATCAGGAAAACGACAATGTGAAATCGTTTTATTTTTCTGTACACAAAAGTTAGGACTCTAAAGTAGTAGTCTTCAGCTCCAGGGACGCGAACCGGTATTAGTCTCGGTTTTCAAATTCAGCCGCTTTTAACAACCGGCTCTTCTGTTTGACATTTTCTTAAATAAACAAAAAGCATTATTCTTGAAATTTTTAGTTTAAGAAACAAATTTTAAAAAGAAACAAAAGCTTGCATTGTAATTGAAACTAATTACTATCAAGAGGAAAATCTCCACAAAAAAAAAGAGAGCGAGTCATTAACCCTTTGACGCAGATGGGACACCGGTGTCTCTTTTATATATGTTGTTCTCTGACACTCTCTAATTATGAGCAGAAATATGCTTTGGTATTTTTCAATCATAAAATACAATCTAATAGTTACTAAAAACTGTTAGATTATCGGAATTATATTTGTATTAAAATATAAAACTTTTTGAAACTTTTTGTTTTCATTCATAATCAAAAATTTATCAACAATTAATTTTACAAATTAAGGAAATTTCAATGATGAATAAGTGTTTTTCTTAGATCCAAGAAACTGCAAATAAGTTCAAATTTAAAAATATATTATTTGAAAGTAAGTCGTGTTGAGAAGAATTTGCCTTTAACACAGAAGAATACACAGTTGTTTCATTCTATATTTCGTAACCATAAATTATTGAAACTCTAATTATCACATTTTTTCCCTTATTTTGACCTAAATTAATATAAAATAATGAAAAGGTATGAAAAGTAAGTCAAATAACAATTCTGAGTCAAAGGAGCCGCTGGATTATAAGGCGGCATACCGGTTCGTGAATCTAATGGTGCCAAGCCGCTCAAGGAACATAAAATTATTTCCATTTTATTCATTATTTTTCTCTGGTTTATACGACTTTCCATGGACAAGAGTTAAGCCGGAAGCTGAGAAACATCATCTAAACCTACATGTAATTGTATTTTAGTTTGAAGTCATGTCCAAATACAGTTAAATTAAAACTATTAAAATTACTGAAATATAAGCAATCAATGCGTCACGGTAAAATTATCAAATGTTGACCGATTCGCCGCAATTAAAAGGTTTTTCTCAAAAGCAATTTCTTCGGCGGTATGAATTAAAGGTTACTTGATGAAATGTTGCTCATCTGCATCGCTGCAAAAGGCGGCCTCTTTCAAAACAATTAAATTTATTTAATTATAAAGTCTACTCTTTATATTAGTTGTTATATTTTGCGAATTTATTTATTTTTAATTAAAAAAAATTTGTCGCGCCCCACAAATCTCTTTTGATCTTTATTCATAGTTGTTAGATAAATTGTTTGCTCTTAAAATTAATCTCTAAAATTAGTCATAACTCGATCTGGAGTTAACTTTAAAAGGCATATTTACCGCAGTATGTCTAATATAAATCCAAAATTAACATTTTGGTTTGCCAATGAAATTCGTCCTCAATCTTGTCTTTTAAATGAGTTCGCACATGACTTTAGTTTGGCGGGGAAATCAAGCCTTAAGTGAGATGAATGCCAAGTCATTTTCTTTTTTCTACCCTCACATTAGGTTGAAAAGGATTAGCATTGAATTTAAAAGCATTAGAATGAGTTTGGAAAGGACATCGGAAAGTCCAGTAACCTATTTTTACATATCGATCATGGGGGTTGATCACATTCGCTAAGAATCGATCTCTAGAGGGGTTGTTCTTTAATGGAGAATTTCTCTTTCATTTAAGCAACATTTGTCTTCACTTTTAACTTATGAATATTATAAACATGCATGATCAATTCAAATAACTGTTCTAAAACGTTAGTTTCTGTCCTAAAAAACTAGGGGAAAACTTTCTGACAAAAAATCTACTATATCACCCGTTTGTGTTAGTTTTTAATTTAAAAATAACTGAATAATGATTATGTATACTCATTTCAAGAGTTATGATTATGTATACTCATTTCAAGAATAATAATTATGTATACTCATTTCAAGAGTTGAGGTTAAATTACTGTACTTTTCATTGATCAAGGAAAAAAAATTGCTCAAAATAAGGAAGTTTGATTCTGACCACTGAAAACGCTGGCGTAACTCAGGGAGTAGACTGCTTCTTTCAAAACTGACGAAATAAGTTTGAATGCGGCGGTAGCGGCTCGATCTTTATATTAGAGTGCTAGATCCCTACATCACCTAAAAGATCGCAGCTGTCACCCAATTTAACAATAACTGACGTAAAATTTAACATAAAAGCGAAAAGGTGTTACGCTATTTTCCATTCCATACTACCATATAATGCTGGCTTCTTAAATTTGATCATGTGTCTTAGTTGTTGCTATTTTGTGGGCCTTTAGCTACCATCTGGAGTATTGACACAAATAATACTAGTGTTAAACGGATGATGGGTTAGAGTTCCATCGCTATTGAGTTCAATATACGAAGTGTGTTTCTTCATATAATTCAAGGACGGGTTAGTTTCAATCAAATAGAATTACTGGTGATTTTATTCCTGTATTTGATTCGGGAGTTCTCTTGTCTTCTGGGTAAAGTTAAAATTGGCACAAGGTGGTAGAAATGATTATTATATCCATAAATACACTTTTTAGATAGACTTTTCTTTGATCATGATAAAGTAAAGTATCAAATTCATATAATATAATTACTTGATATATTTCTTGTTCCAAACAGGCGCTTCTCAAAAGAGGGGAATAATAGAGTTAACGGCGTTAGTGATAGCGTTAATGAATTCTATTGATATTTATGATATCTGCCCTAGGTGTTCGCTACATATGCAATATATGTTTCTATTGAAGTAAAATTATGACTATAAGAAATTTTTAATCGAATTTCAGAACATCAGATAGTCTTAAACAATTAATTTATGTTAAAAACTATCGGCTTTGCATACATTAGATTTTTTGGACAATACTTTATCTTACGTGCAAGAAAGTGGCATTTTGCTACGTAAATATTTCACAAAAACATAAGAAAATATTTTAAAAATTAATTTGAGGATTGATAAATAAGTCAGAAGTACTAACTTTAATCTATTATTTTTAAATATAATTAAATGGTTTCGTATATTGTGGGTTGTGGAAAACTATAAATTTTACGAAGAAAACCTTAGCATCAACGGTTTTTTATCATACAAGAACAAGTTTTTTCCGTAAAAATAACGAAAGAAAATCCGCAATAAGATCGGTTTTTTACTGTAACAAAACAAGTTTTTGCAACAAAAAAAATCTGTTGTCTCAACGGACTTTTACTATATAAAAAACAAGTTCTCTCTGCGAGCGGTACGAAGTAAATCTGTACTTACACCAAATGTAAATATTTTATGTCGGCAGAATTTGTATCGATCAGCCATCGCCGGGATTCGAACCTCGTTAATTCATGGAGAGTCGCGATCACTGTTCCCTGAGCCATTGCGGTTCGAGTATTTTATTTCGAAGAATTTCACTTCAATAATGTATCAATTTGACAATAAAGTCGAATCGTTTTTTTTTATACATTGTTCAAAACCATAAAGTAATTACTAAAAAGTAAGAGCTAGTATAGAAAATAATCGTTAAATGATCCGAGAAAAAGTAAAATTATGTTACGGATAGCAAATCTTGCATGGCAAAAACTAGAATTTTAATTGACAGTCTTAATTAGTTTGTGGTTAGTGTGAAAAGCTGAGAAAAACAGTTAAATATATAGAGAAATTCCGGAAAAAAAACTGCTGATTTTTACAGTGTACGTTACATTTTTGGACATGCTTCAAAACTCTAAATCTCGTTTCTTGGATTATTTTTTTATTTGTTTCAAAACATTAATTTGCCTTTCACTCAGTGTTAGAACTTATCTATTGCTACAATTTGTTAAGGATTTTATCAAATAACCATCCTATTTAAAATTTTTACTCATATTTTAATTTTTAAACATTCGAACTATCTTTGAAAAATATTTTTTTGGTGTTGCATTGACTCAATTAACATCAAGAATGTCCGAAATTGATCCTTTAGTAGTGAAGAAATTTTTTTTTTAAAGTATTTATAAAGAATGTTTGCAATGATTTATGTTAATTCCTGTCACTAGAGAGAATATTCAAAATTCTCTAAAAAAATTTATATCAAATAAATTTAAATGTAATTGTTGTCAGAGTTTAAAGTTAAGATCTGCGTTTTGCTTCCGCCTTTTTCCCTAACGCACCAAACATTAGACTATTAACTATTAACTTAACTATTTCAGAATTCAAGAAAAATTCCAGCGTTAAATAAAAAGGTGTAACTTACTTGAAATTAAGAATATCCGCTCTCGTAGGACACTGTATATTTTTTATTGATTAAGTCAATCTCCCTTACTCTAAGAAATTATAGTTTTTTGTTCTTTTTACTGACATTAACGTGATCAATATTTCATTTTCTTATTTAGAGCATTGAAGATCAAGTAGCCTCGATTTTGTACCACTTAGGAAAAGTGAGTAATTTTTCTTTCATATTTAAAAAATACTATGTGTTGGATGAATTTTTATTTTAACTAATCCCCATCTTTTTAAGAAGATCGAGACCGGTTTTACTGTTAGCGCTATGGCCATAAAGTTTAACAAAAATATCCAGACATTGAAAAGTAATAATTTACTTAATAATTATTTATAATCATATTTTTTTGTGAATCATCATAATGTTTGATGATATTAAATAAAATTATATACTCATCTGAAACATTCATAAAGAATCAATGACATTTAAATTTTTTCAATGGGCAAAACTGTAATAAATGATCCCTTCCTTAACATTGGAAATATTATTCTTTTCTCTGTCAATTTTTCTTCTGCTTACATATCGATGTCTTTTTGCCATTTAAGCATTCATAAAAAGGTTTTTTGGTAAAATTTCAAACGTTTCTTTTTAATATTTTGAGTGGAAGTGGATTTTAGTCATAAAATTTAACAACAATACCAAGACATTAAAAAGTAATAACTTACTTAAAAACTATTTATAATCATATTTTTTTGTGAATTATCATAAAATTTAATGATATCAAACAAAATGTTATACTCATCTAAAACATTCATAAAGAATCAATGATTTTTAAATTTTTTCAATGGGCAAAACTATGATAAATGATACCTTCCTTAACATTGAAAATATTACTTTTTTCTTCTGTTTACATATCGATGTCTTTTTACCATTTAAGCATTCATAAAAAAGGTTTTTTGGGGAAAATTGCAAAGTTTTTTTTCTTTAATATTTTAAATGAAAGTTGATTTTAGCTACTAATTATTGCGGTTTAGACCTTATCCTTTCTTAATATCGAAAAAATTATCTAATATGAAATTTAGCTCTCAAATCAGCGAAATAGTGAGATAAGAGATGCCGTGAGTTGTCTATGAAGTCAAGTCTAATATTAGTCTTTCAATAGTTAACAGTTCAAAAGTAAAAAGCTTTAAGGTAGAGTTGATTGAGTTATGGGATGCGTGTAAGATATATTAAGCTCTCTTTTTCTTCTCTCTCTTGGTTTTCTTTTCCTTTGTTACTTTACACCTACATAAGCAAGTTAAGTTTTTAGTATTTGCTGCTTGAAAACAAATATCGAAAAAAAAAGCTTTACTTCACAGTTTGCAAAGTCACACATCGAGCACTAAACTAAGCGAATTCACAATAGTTATGAATCTAGATGGTATTTTCACTTTAATTTTCTGTTAATCACACATCGAGCACTAAACTAAACGAATTCACAATAATTATGAATCTGGATGGTATTTTCCCTTTATTTTTCTGTTAATCACACATCGAGCACTGAACTAAACGAATTAACAATAGTTATGAATGTGGATGGTATTTTCACTTTAAATTTTTGTCAATAATGCTTACAATGTTTTGTTAGCAATACCTTCTTATTACTTACAATTAAAGTACTTGAGTGGATTTTAAAGATGAATTGCACTAACTGTGTTTATATTTTCGTCTTTACTTCCATTTCTATTACATAGTCTTACAAATTGTAAGGAACATCATTAGTGTGCGCAAAAAATATAATGATAATAATTCCTCTGTAAAACTTTTGGTCTAATGTTCAGATCTCCATGTATTAGGACTTAATCCTAAAGTTTCGCGGGGGTGACCTCAAATATGCAAATTAATTAGTGCAGACGGTATTTTAAGTTCAAAACCAGACACAAAAATGTACTTCTTCTTAATAAACATACCTTTTTATCCATAGATTTGGATTTCTAACCCTTAAAATATAAGGAAATCCGGGAAATATGAATCCAGTAGTTTGATTAGGAAAGTGGTCCAAACTTTGAACTCCTTAATGTTAATTTTACTTTTTGCGTATTTCACTATACTCGAGAATTTTTTAAGCGCATTAAAATGTTTGCATACAATTATAAAATTCATTTATCCGAAGATGATTCTAAACAAGAAATAATTTTAAGTAATTATTTATTATTATTTTATTTAAAAATAGTGGAAAGAATTTTGAATTGCAAGATATTAAAATTTTTACACAATTTTAAAGAAAGTAATTTTATAAGTCAAAATACAAAAGGTGAACGAAATCAGCCAAATGAAAATGCCTGACTTTTTTGAAATTCAATTTCTCAGGATCTATTTCACCGATTGTTTTTAAATTTTGTATTTTGACACATATAATTACATTCTTAAAAATAATGTAAAAATTTGTTTACCTTACAATTCAAAATTTTTCGACAATTGTTAAATAAAATAATAAAAAGTAATAAATTATTATTTATTGCCTGAATTTATCTTTACTTAATCGAACTTTATAATTTTGTGAAAAAATTTTACGATTCCATTAAAAAACTCTGGAGATATAGCGAAATACGCAAAAAGTAAAATTAATATTAAGTGGTCCAAAGTTTGGACGGCTCCGTTTTAACCAAGCTGTTTGAACCATATTTTCCAGATAGCTAATACCCTCTATATTTTGAGGGTCGGGGACCCAAATCTGTCTAAAAAAGATATGTTTTTTTCCAGAAGAAGTACGTTTCTATGTCTGATTTCGTAACTTATAACATCATCTGCACTAATTAATTAGCGTATTTAGGGTCATCTCCCCGTACTATAAAGATTGAGATTGTGTCTTAGTACGTGAAGTATGTTCACCAGATACAAAGTAATTTAAGTTGATTGTTTTTTTATCGCAGCATACAGTGCGCAAAAAAGTAAACAGATCACTCTGAATAACTTTTGATCTGATGATCGGATCTCCACGCTCTTATCCTCAATCTTAATGGCTCGATGGGATTACCTCAAATATGCTAATTAATTGGTGTAGATGATATTTTAAGTCACGAAATGAGACACAAAAAACGCACTTTCTCTGAATAAGCATAACTTTTTTCCAACGGATTCCGAGTTTTGACCCCCAAAATATAGGAGGTAGCCGCAATTGAGAAAATATGTTCCCCATAGTTTGGTCAGGAGAGTCCAAAGTTTGAACCCCTTAATGTCAGTTTTACTTTTTGTACATTTCTCCATATTTCGAACTTTGTAAGTGAATTGAAATATTTTTGCACACAATTATAAAATTCGTTTATCCGAAGATAATTCCATGCAAAAAATAAATTTTAGTAAATTTTTATTATTTAATTATCTAAAAAAAATTGAATTGCAATTTATACAATTTTTAGACCATTTTAAAGTATGTAGTTTTACATTACAAAATAAAAAATTTAAGCGAAATTGGTTGAATAATTCCTGAGAAATAAATTTTTAAGGAGTTGTATATTTAAATTTCTATTTCTCAAGAAATATTTGACCGATTCTGCCCAAATTTTATATTTTGTCATGTAAAACTACATACTTTATAATGACATAAAGAACTGCATACCTGGCAATAAAAATTTTTTCAACGATTATTTAATAAAATAATAAATATATTCCAAAATTTATTTTTTAGCATGGATTTATCTTCGGATAAACGAATTTAATAATTGTGCAAAAAATATTTTTAGTTCGTCTAAAAAGTTCTCGAGATAGGAATATTCCTATACGGAAATATTCGGAATATACGGAAATATTCCTAATACGGAAATATTCCTAATACGGAAATATTCCTAATACGGAAATATTCTTTCGAATATTTCGAAAAGTAAAATTAGCATTTAGGGGTCCAAACTTTGGACCGCTCTCCTGAACAAACTATGGGGACCTTATTTTCCAGAATGTGGCTACCCCCTATATTTTGAGGGTCAGAAATTCGAATCTGTTGAGAAGAAAGGTATGTTTATTCAGAGAAAGTACGTTTTTGCGTCTGATTTCGTAAATTAAAGTATCGTCTGGGGCAAACTAATTAACATATTTGAGGTCATCCATTTAAACCATTAAGATTGAGTCATAGAACGGGAAAATCCGATCATTAAATCAAGCGTAGGGATAGATAGAGAAAAATAGATAGATAGACAAATGTGAATTTCACTTTCAACCTAAAATGGGCGAAAAAATTAAGTTGAGTGAAGTTAGTATTTTAGATAAGGAGTAGAATTAGTGTGAGCCACTGTACTTTTGTTAACTAAATAAAAGTGATAAATTAAGTTGATTTCATGAATTTGTTTGAATGAAATATTTAGTTTTTAACTTCTCAACAAATAATCTCAATATATTTTGAATAATTTATAACCCTTCACTCTAAGCTTAGAAATGTAACTATCAATGTAACTATCAACAAAGATTATGCAATATATATTATTACCATTAATATATCAGAAAAAATGCTTTATAATATAGTACGAGTCTCGGAAAACATTAATTGGTTTTAATGCAAGTTTCTTCATATATTTTTAATTCTTGTATATATGTTCTTTCAAACAAAATAACATTTTTATTATCTTATAATAAAAGACTATAAACTTAAATCAATATAGCCACTAAACAAAATTTTTATGGTTTATTAAGGAAGTTTAAATTGGTTCTCGATATAGTTAAATCACTTATTACGAGAACTTATCACATCAAATAGGAAATAAATAAACTAATAAAATATCTAAACATTCCCTGAAATATTTTTATCAGATATTCATTCCTTCTCTCAACAAAAATAGCTACATTTTGCCAGAGCTATTTTGTTTTTTAGCGCTTCCAACCATTAGAATGTTAAAAACTTGTGTCTCACTTTGTTTACATTGGTATGTAATTTCAGTTTTTTTGAAAAAATATTTTCAACTTCGAGAAATACCATATTTTGTAAAAGATATTTGGTGAATAAACAATGTCAATCAAAAGCAACTTTGTAAATGTGTAAACAACGGGTGCAACTTTTCATAAGCGCAATAAGCCTAATGTTGATTATTTTTCTAAAATTGTTATATCATATTTCATAATTTTAAACTTTTTCTGGATTTTTTTTTAATGTGATATTTTCAGTATTGATGACTTTAATTGTGTATTTTATTCTCTCAGGAAAAAGGTAAGAATTGAAAAAAAGCACCAATATAGAGTTTTAATTAGGAA